ACTTTGCACTTCACATTTAGCGGCTTAAGTAATTCACGTTTTTCTTTTTTCAAAAATTACTAAAAATATAAAATTTTAAAAAAACAGCCATATCGGCACCCAAACTGTGGAAAGACACATTGCTTCAGGTTGACGTGCGAGAGAGTTTTCCCTGCATGCCGAACAAAGCGCTGACGTGACTCAGAGGGTTTGTACATGCCCACTCAAATAAGGCGCGTGATATTCCCAGCGCGACATCAACCAATGAGAGCATGCCTGGATTTTTCCCGTGAGTTGATTTGCTGCACATCGTCACCATTCTCTTATCTGTATTGCATACTGTATCTTAGTGTTGTGTTCGTGATTGCTTTTGTTTTTTCTTCTTTTTATAAGTTGGAAGTCTTCAGCGTTAGGCTGTGCTCCAAGTTAAGCTGTGCTCCAACCAACCCTTTGCCACCACTGAAGCAATGCCTTTATACTGACAACTCAGGCGAAGGCTCAAATGACAGCTGAAACTGTCAGCTCGGTAAGTTTTATTCTTCACAAAAAAAAAAAAAAAAAAAAGAGACCATTGTCTTGATAAAAAAAAAAAAAAAAAAGAAATCTTCAACCTATTTCAACTAATAAGAAAATAAGATGAACATCATAGCACTACCCATCACCATGTATTTCTCCAATTTAAAAACTTCAGCTACACTGTCAACGCCTCTAAAGAGATTTTGGTCTCTTTATAAACACATTGGCTAAACCCCGGTGGAACGAAAAACGACGTCGTGGACGAGACTGCTATTGTAGTAGAAAAATATATATTTTTTTACAGAAAGAGAAAAGAAAAGAAGAGAAGCATACAGATTACTGGAGAGCGTGTCCGTCTGACCTCGAGCGTTGTCATCTGTCCTTTGCTGTTGTTGTGGCGAGGCTATATTAGCTGTTCTCGTAGATCAAAGATCTTTGATCTGTAACGTCCTTTGCGTCTGTGCTGATTGGTTGAACGTGTGTGCGTGCTCGCGCTTGCGCGCACGCAGCAGAGAGCAGCGGACCATTGATCGCTGAGGCAAGCTTCACTCGAGTGGCGTTGCTACACCTCCAGCAGGAGAGTCCTGAGTGAAATAAAAGCCGACAAATCAGCCGCCTTTTATTCCACCAACAAAACCCTCTTTGCCTGTCTCAGAAGTCAATGTTGATGAATGTTAATTACTGTACTGTATATGGTTTTAGAATTAAAGATCTAAGTAAACACGTGTACTGTTGTAATCTCTGTCTCAAATATGTAAAGCACAAATACTGTTTTCATATTTTAAACATGCTGGTATGTGGGATGTTTCTTGCTTGCAATAACATCATTGACCAGACAGACAATGACATCGTGGACAGCGACTCTTCCATCCACCTTTCTCCCCGCATGTACATACATACATGTAACTGGTCTGTTGTCAACTGCCTGTAGTTTTCAGACCTTCACCAACAGAGCGTGCTAATATATGCGGAAAAGCCGTGAAATCGCTGTTCACGTTTAAGTGTTACAAACATTATTACATCCACATAGACAAACACGGTCTTTTTTGAAAACCTAAAAATGAAACCAGTTGCTCGTTGATTAAATTGTTTTTTTTTTTGTTATTACGTGTTTTTATAATTATTCTTTAATGAAGCAAAAAAAAAAAAAAAAAGGTTTTATATTTATCTGAATACCCGTTGATGCAAAATCCAAATCCCAAAATATTCATGAGCTACATCCCAAAAGTGAACTGGTAATTTTTAACTGAAGTCAAAAGCTGACTGCAAGCTCCACAGGAATAACTCAACCCGCAACTCAGGGGTCATTCATTCTTCATCAAAACCCCTAGCGCCACCACCCCCACCCCGTCCCACCTCCCGATGACCAATTGGTTTCCGATGGGCAAAAGTCCATCTGCAAGAGCACGTTCATATCAGGCATCAACACGCCTTTGTACGCCACCGAGCGTGCTCAAGATAAAATGATGACGGAACAAAGAAGCAGATGGCATTTTTGGTTCACTGCAGTGGATCATTTAAATTTCATCCATACAAGGAGGACTCAAAGAGACCTATTTATACAGTTAAAATGTTTTTGTTACAAACAAAAAGACTGCAAGTTCTATGCAGCAGCTCTTTTTTTTTAATACAGCAGGTAAGACAAAAAAAAAAAAGAAAAGAAAGACAACGATATATGCAGCATAATCCTCAATTTTGATGTCAAAAGGGTTTTTTTTTGGGGACTCCTGGTTAAAAAAAAATAATAATAATTCCGTATGAGACAGTCCAAATGACTGAGTATTAAGGTTGCCGACCCTTGCACTAGGGCATGGATGACCGACACACACACACACACACACACACACACACACACACACAAACACACACACACACACAAACACACACACACACACACACACACACACACACACACACACACACACACACAGAAGTGTGAGACTGTGGCAACACTAAACTCCGCTGGGAATTCCACACTACTTCCTTGGTAACAGAACACAGGAAGTCTGCTTTTGAAAGATTCATGGTTGCTTCAATTATGCATCCAAATTGTTGCATTTACACAATTTTCATAATTCATCCATTTCGAGACAGAAGATTGTCTGTCAGGTGGGAAGTGCTGCATAAATACTAAAATTATACTTTTCTACATATTTTGACATTGTTTCCATCTGTAAATCATCTTTTTTTGTGTTTAAATACAGATATTGTTTACGCTTATTGGTGTATGCGTGTGTATGCGTGTGTGTGTGTGTGTGTGTGTGTGTGTGTGTGTGTGTGTGTGTGCGTGCGCGCGTGCTATTAAGTACCGTAAATCAACTATTAGTGCCAATTTGTTTCACTATATCGGTGTTGCCTTCTCTGCCAATTATTGTAACTGGTTAGCAAAAGCTTTAATTGGGGTTTGGTTAGAGACCCTAACTTGTCCATGAAATTATCCGTGATCAAGTGAACTTGTAGCTACAAAGCATGGGTGCCTATGTGGTGATTGGGAATGTTCAATACCACTTTCTTTCAGACCGATACCAGTAGAAGTAAGAAAAAAAACCCTAAAAATCTCTTGATGAACGCCTGGTGTATGTTAGGCCAACATTTTGCATTGCGACCTTGAACGAACCCTGTCGTGAACGGGCATTTTTCTTCTTTGCCAAGTCGCAATTGTTTGGGCCTCAATGCAAGAGGAGCTTTTGTTTAGTTCTGACTAAAGGCAGAATAGTCTATTTACAACAGATAATTTAAATCCAAAATAAAACACAATAACTTGCTCTGAATTCAGACGTATATTTACACCAGAAAAGTCCTTTGGTCTGCTTAATTGGTCCGGGCCAAAAGAGGACTTTTTTTTTTTCATTGTATGTGAACTATATTTTATGAACACAGTGGACAGAATTGACCAGGGCGGCATGCGGAGCGCAGACCCGGCCTGAAATTGAGGAAAAGATGGAAGTCCTACTTGCTGAATTCCTTCTCTGCACATTTACAGCTTTAAATTAATAGTGAGCGCCAAGAGTAGCTCATTCAACACAGGTTTCGCGAAGCTCTGTTTCTAATTTCAGAACAGCGTCAACAAATGTGTGCAGTAAACTGAATCAGCACATGCTCTGGGTGCCCTGACCCAGAGCACACTGGCAGAAGAGTGGCTAAACAGGACTCAAGATCAGGTATGAAATGAAGTAAAACAACAGGGGCTATTTTTCCCCACAATGACTGGCTATAGTGGTTTGTTTAGCCCACAAAGGCGCATGTATCCTGGAGTTAATGTGGATTGGGCAATGATTTACATTCAAACCTGAGGCGAACCAGTATGGAAAGTAAACCCTGGGAAACCAAACCTTGTGCGCTTTGGCCCAAACAGTGCAGGTGTGAATATACCCTAGGATTTATTTGTAATCAATTAACAAAAGTGCAAAATAAAATGGGACACCTCACTGAGTTTTAGTCTTTGTTCAAAATAAAGTGGAGTACAAAATAAGAATAACAATCATCCATCCATCCATCCATCCATCCATCCAACCATCCATCCATCCATCCATCCATTTTCTGATCCGCTCACAAGGGTCACGATGTGTGCTAGAGCCTATCCCAGCTGTCTTCGGGCAGTAGGCGGAGGACACCCTGAACCGGTTGCCAGCCAATCGCGGGGCACACATAGACGTCCATTCACGCTCACGCTTACACCTTGGGACAACTTAAGAGTGTTTCATCAACCTGCCATGCATGTTTTTGGAACGTGGGAGGAAACTGGAGTACCCGGAGAAAACCCACGCAGGAACCGGGAGAACAACTACAACTACTCTACACAGTAAGGCCGTAGCCGACATCTAACCTTGCACCTCTGCACTGTGAGGCTGACGCTCTAACCAGTCAACCACCGGGCCAGCCAATAATAATAATAATAATAATAATAATAATAATATTGTCATTATTATTATTATTATTATTATTATGTTCAACTGTAACTTTTGAAGTCAGCACATTAGCCCTTAACTTAAATTTTGGAGCACTCGAAGAAAATTTTGAGGAGCCAACAGTAAATTGACCTGTTTTAGACCAGGCCTCTTAATAATTAGATAGGTGACTTGAGCTAGGCTGTTGTGTCACTGTGACCTTTCCTTCTGGCTCACCATTTTCCTGTCTATCTGCACTCATGGCACGCCTATATCTAGTTGAAACCAATTAAGAGACACACTGTCACATCTCGCATTTTGGCCCGTCTCTCCGACTAATACATTTTATGCAGTTTTAAACAAGTGAGAGCAGATCAGTTTCACGCAACTACTGAGGCAGTCCTCTGTTGTAGTGGAAAATTGAAAACCCCAAACTGAGACAAGTAGAGCCAAGTATAAGGCTGCGGAAAACTGAGTACGTACAGTGCAGTGGAAAAGGGGCTTCAGTGTTGAAAGGTCTCCACCCCCCACCGTTAACAAGACAGGAGTCAACGGGCTAATATTCTCCAAATAACACATAGATTGGGAAAAAGTAGACGTGTATGTGCGTCTTCTTACCAGTTGAACATAAGCTACTTTGTAGTCAGGCTGCTTCACCCTCTGGTTGAGATGATTCCTCTTCTTGTTGGAACCTGAGAAATAAAGAACAGCTGATATTACTTAAATGTGTAATCATCACATCATGCAAATATGAATTGCGAGACGCTCATTACATTTACATGACACAAGAGCAAATCTTATGAGTGCATCAGGCCCAACTGAAACCAGACTTTTAAAATACATTTAAAGACAACTGAGCATACAGGCCACAGAAAACATACTGTTTAAGTCCCCATGGAAAATTGTATACTTTTAAGCAACCTATTAACTCTCCATCACAAAATACGATATATACTTAGTCATGATGTTAAATCAACACCAGGTCAAGTACAGATTATTTCTTTATTTTTCAGTTGTGTAAAGATTTATGCTATGTTGTTTTTTTTCAAAATATGTAAAATATGTGCAACTTGCCCTCCCTCATGTACGAGACTTCAGCGTTGCCATAATAATAGGGTGTTTGACAAATAGTACTGATATCAGTATACATTTAAGATAGCATTTCCCCCTAAAAGAAAACAAAAATAACAAATAAATGGACAGAATACAGAACAAAGGGAAGGAAACAACGGCTTCATCGTTTCCTAATTAATGTTGATTATTTTAAGGCCCAATAAATGTGTTTGCATTTGTGGTAGCGGCGGCCCATATGAAACAACAAGAATCGTTTCACTGAAATATGAGTATAAAATAAATAGGAAGCAAGGGGGGTGCTTCGGGAGTACGGGGTACCAAACTCCCTGATACGGGCAATTTGTTTGTTGTACCACTGATGTTAGAGTTTGGTCCAGATTGACGGCAGTAAATCAGATTCGTTTTCAGTAAGGGTTGGATTCAGGCTTTTGGCCAAGCCTTGATGAACCAACCCTTCTATCCCCTCTGTACCATGAGGCGGATGGGCTAAGCAGTCAATACTTCCAGGCAAACTCCAAGTTCACCTACCACGCATGTCCTATGTGGAACGTTTAACTTCCCTGGAACAGCGGAACACATGGCCTCTGCCCATAACAAAATTCTGCCAAATCGGAACATTCTGTATCTCTGCAAGTATAAACCAATTATGAATCAGTATTAAAAAAAGAAAAAAAGTATGTAATTGATATTTGGGTAGTGAATGGCAAATGGACTCCATCTACTTTCCGCAAGATTAGTCAGAACAAATTGGGACAACCACCCAGAAGCATTATGATGAAGTTATCTTTCAGTCTTACTGGAATAACAAGACAAGGTGTTGATTCATTTTCTGGTCAAACAAAGGTCTGCGTAGTGGGTCTAGGTGGAAAAACAAGAGACTTATCTTGTTGACAAGGGAATGCCGTTTAACCACTTGCCCAGCTGGAGACGATAATGACATCATGTTCTTTCTTGTCAGATCTCACCAAGTGGAGGGAGGATAGGGGACTTGGGGAGTGAAAGTGGTGTGTGTGTGTGTGTGTGTGTGTGTGTGTGTGTGCGTGTGTGTGTGTGTGTGTGTGTGGTAAGGCGGGGAGCAGAGTTGTCAGACGAGCAGCTTTGCATCATATACATAAATCAAATGCCATTTCTTTCATAAATTAGTACCAACCTAGTACAGTACGTAGAGGAGAAAAGGAGTTCACGAATAAGTCATCAATCAACATCTATGACAGGCCAATGGCCAGGTCATCAAAATGCTTAAATCCTTTTGACAACTTGCTTGCTGTTGGTCAAGTCAAAAGGCAATGTCAATGATGTTGCCATCGGAACAGTTATATATTACAATATGAAAAAAAAGAAACTTTCCACTGTGACATTTGAGTGTATATGTGTTTGTGTGGTACACGTATTCATGAGAATGGCAGCCCACTGCACAGGGAAAGCCGTAAGCAAAGTTGTAAAACGCTAATACCCTCCCTTCTCAAGCCAACTGGAGGTCCCTGTGTGAGTGGAAGACAGAGGTAACATGTGTGTGGCTCTGTGTGTGTTTGCGGTCACGTTGCTGAGAAAATCCAAAGGGAAATATGACTACCTTTCTAAGACACTGACCTGTCCCTCCTTAAACAATTAAATACCCACCCAGTGGATCCAAAGAGACACACACACACACACACACACACACACACACACACACACACACACACACACACACACACACACACACACACATACAAGCACACGCACACACAAGCACACTTAAGCATGTTGGAAAAACATTTCAACTTCAGGTAATCCTTTCCAAACATATACGGAAACACAGGCAACGCTTTCATAAAACACTCGCAAATGCAACCACTCCCACTTTCTCCCACTTAGAGATTGCGGTTTGGCAGCCAGATATCACATTACAAATCCCAGACCAGTAGGGTATCCATGGTAACTCCTTCCAAAATACCCCTCCTGCCCATGGAGGGAAGAAAGGGTCCGTGTGCGCCCCTCACTCTTTTTTGCCTCTTCCTGTCTTTATGCTGCCAATGGAGTGGAACTCTCAACATAGACAGGGATACCTTCTCTGACGCACTACAGGATCACAGAGGCCCCGAAAGACCCCTTTCTTCTCTAGCCACCTCTGCCAATGCAACAGTCCTCCTGTTTCCATCTACACTCCTCCTAAGGGGCTACGGGCTCCTCTTTTTGTCAAGCCTTAATGACACCACCCTAGTAAACAGTGTTGATGAATCTTTCACAATGCAGGCTAGGGATAGGAGGGATATTATTCCGTTACTATAGTTACAGGTTGGATAAACAACATTTTCCATTAGGACCAGAAGTGTACAAACATATCGTTACACATTTTTACTTACACAGGTGAATGATTTTTGTTCTGTCTTCTGTACTACCGTACCAAATCTCAGGACCATACAAATTTCAAAAAAGATGTGGCATGGCTCATTTAAACAGGTTTTTAGCATCCAGCAACTTATTTGTACTTTTTTTTTGTAATAATATTATTTTTAGATGGGTGGAAATGCAGACGACTAGCACATCCGCCTCATAAAGCTGAGGTTGTTGGTTTGAATCCGGGCCGCAGCCGTCCTGTGAGATTATATGTTCTGCACGTGCCTTCGTGGATTGTCTCCGGTTTCCTCCCACACTACAAAAACATGCATGGTTGGTTCAAAGGAGACTCTAAATTGCCTGTGGGTGTGAATAGTTGTTTGTCTATTTGTGGCCTGCAGATGGTGACCAGTTCAGGTTGTATGCCGCCGACCGCCCGAAGACAGCTGGGCTAGAATGAATGAATGAGTGAATGATTTTTTTGACAGCCTGTTTAGAACTACTCTGCAATCAAGCCGAATTCTTCCACCTAATTTGGGAGGCAGATATGCAAAGTTCAAGTCATCTAACTACTAAGATTAGAAAAAGTCACAATGTAACTGTTTTACGAAATTTAGACTGTCTCACTGTGCAGCAAAGTAGTAGTATGAGTCCTCATCAAAACAGACCCAAAAAATACTGTCACTCACTCACTCACTCACTCACTCACATAGACGGCTTTTGTGTGGGTCACGGTAGTTTAGAGAGGGGATGGTTAAAATCCGTCTACATGCTTTTCAGTCGAACCATAATTGTTTCGACACGGATGTAACGTTGAGGAAGTAGACCTTGAGTTCGTGGATTTGGACCTTGATGAGAAATTATTTCTGATCAGGCAAAAATCTGAGGAAGCTCAAGGGCAGGCAAAAAGTAGGCCTGCAAAGTGGTCGCCCAGCTTGGGTATAGGAGTGAAAGATGTAAACAGCGCATTCAGAAAGTATTACTTACAATTCTGTTTATTGTTTTTGTGTTGTAGCGTCACATTAATAATAAAAAAAAAAAAATCAGCCCTAAGCCATTTACAACCAGCAAAAACTAATGCTACAATATTTTAAGCACTCATGTGACTGTTTGTTGTGAGTTGTATTTGATATTAAAGTACAACTTCCATTCTCCCAATCATTTTTAATGTACAAATATAGTATACAAAGTTGCAAACATACAGTATAAACCTCACAGTAATGTGTGTGTGACGTGCATCCATCTGTGTTCAATTGAAATAGAGGACATGACTTGGAAAGGCTGGCAAAGCATATCATAGTAAAAAAACGATCCTTGGGGTGAAAGGGACTGCCTGGAAGGACTCAGAGACAGTATTGTGGCAAGGCACAGAACTGGGCAAAATTACAAATAATTTTCCGCTGTACTTACTCATGTTCCTAAGAGCACAGCGGCCTCGATAATTCTTAAATGGCAGAACTTTGGAACAACCGGGACAATTCCTAGAGGTGGCCGCCCGGCTAAACTGAGCAATCGAGGTAGGAGACCCTTTGTAAGTACTGTGACCATGAAACTGCCTGAGTCCCAGAAATTCTCAGAAAAGATGAGAAGTGCCACAAGGACAACCACATGATATTGGAAAGGTGAGTCGGTTCCTTCCAGAAAGTGCATTTTCAGTTTCTGCCCTTCATGACAGCAACAACCCGGCAAAAGCACTATGCTATGCTGACGGTCCTCTCAGTCCATCACTGATGAACACCCGTTTTGCTGAGAGAAACACGCCCCGCCTGTCTCGTGTGTTTGTCCGCGGTGTTGTTCTCACCGAGGGATGACGAGCAAAGACAGAGAAGCCAGGCTAATTGTTTATCTAGCCTAAGACTGACACTGCTAGCGCATCCAACACTGGAATTAAGTGTGTGGGGGATGATCAAGTCCACTTTTCACCGATGTCTTGCTGGAACCGAGAGGAGAATATTCAACTTCAAACAACAAAATAGCATGCAAAAACAATAGAATGGAAGATAATAAAAATAAAAAAAAAAACACCAGTGATGGCCACGCCATGCTTACCTGCTACATCATGCAGCAGAGGCTTGGTGTGTGACACTCTTCATTTTTTTTTTCTTAAAGTTAAACTTGACCAATGTTGGTGTGATTGTATGTATTTGAGGCATGCCTTGTTATCGGTCGAGTTCTGTTGATACTGGACTGATGAGCGTGGTATCACTTTTTTTTTCCCCTCCAACATCGGCCAGATAGTTACCTGTCCGATAGTTCTCGTGCATCCTGATCTAAAACTTGCCAAACTACATCATGGACATCCAAGGCCAGCTGTGGCAGGGTCACCGCAACTTGGCTCATGTTGGCCCATCTATGTGTGCCTTGCGATTGGCTGGCATCCAGTTCAGGGTATAACCCGCCTACTGCCTGAAGACAGCTGGATTAGGCTCCAGCATGCCCGCGACCCTTGTGAGGAGTGGCTCACTCAGATAATGAATGGATGAATAATTCCAGAGGTACCACGTATCTTTTTTGAAAAGACATAATCAGTACATAGTAGATATTCGTGAGACAGTGTTAAACCGTAGTCAGTAACTCTGGGATGTATTAGGTCTGGACAAAGTGAAAAGACACTCACCATACTGTATCCTGGTGCGAACTTCTCCCACTGGAACATTGTATATCTTCTCCAGATAGTTTTTGACATCATACTTTGTCATTCTGTCCACACATGCCAGCCCGACAGAGGGGGTAAAACCCGCAGGTAGGTTCCGGAAGGGAGAAGAAAACATTGGTTATATAAGGCATTTTTACCATTGATTATAATGTTTTTATATAGAAACAGTTGATGAGCAGTCACTTTTATTTCCTTAAAATCTAGTACTGAAGAGAAGGCCCTCCATCAAACATACTCATCATACTCTCATTCAGATTTTATCCCATTGCGGCATAAAACGGCAGGAGAAAAGAAAAGAGAATGTCGGTCTTCACCCAATTAGCTCGCTGTGTGTATTGATCGAGTGCAGTGAAATCCTATACAGGAAGCAGGCCTGGCACCAGCCACTGTGCTGGACCATTCAAGCTTCCACTAACCCACTGGGCAGCATTTGAAACATACTGCTTTGACCAGAGGAAGAAAGGCTTTTAACTGCTAATCAATTTACCGAATTTGATTAGCCTGGTAGAGAGCACTTCCCAAATGCGTCTGACAAAGTGCTTTATAGTGACGCTGTGGTCTAACATAAGTACCTCGGATATGGCGTCTTCTATCACATTACATGCTTCTTTGATTGAGTGGGATAATGTGCATGCATGAATTTCACTAGGAAACAACACAATATCTCCAAATGTTGGAACAATATTAGGTGAGGCAAAAAAAAAAAAAAAAATGATTCCGTGGAACACAAAGAGTCTTTCAAACTCGGGATGAGGTAATATGTGTTCCATCCTGTCCAACAATTTGCCTTTTCCGCTATACTGGCATACTGTACATGTTAACAAAGCTGACATTTTTATCAAGGGCTGGTTAAACTCGTTTGAATTTAGAAGGTGTCACAAAAAAAAAAAAAAACAACACATTTTTCCTCTGAACAAAATGGTATACAAATCTTAACTTCTCTGTAGCGATTTCATTTTTAGCGACATCCCACAATGGATGGATGGATGGATGGATGCTTTTATTTGCATATCCTTTTATTCTTCAGTTGAGTATGTATTCTCTGTGTGAGGTTATCAAGCAATAAGCAGAGTACGTGATGATGTAAACCAGAGTCCTGGATCTTCAGGTACAACCTGGTGACCGAATGCCAGGTATATTTGTAGGATACTCTATATACACATAAAGTACAACTGGGAACTGTTTTACAGTATATTGTGGTTCTGTTGATTTTAAATATAATATCACATGGTTCAAAAACAGACAGCTCATCGATTAAACGACCCGTGAGGCATTATTTGACAGCATTCGGGGCATTACAGTAGATTTTTGTTTGTTCTATTATTCTTCTACACATACTGTACAGCAGGGGTGGCCAACATGCGGCTCGCGAGCCGCATGCGGCTCTTCGGCTGGTTCAATGTGGCTCCCGGGCTTTCACATGACAAGCGTTGAAAACGCCTCGTCGTTGGCGCTGTCGGCGCTAAATACACAGAACTAACTACGTCAGCCTATCATCAATCCCGTTACTTGACACATACATACAGACATACAGAGCAACCAATCAGATGACAACTGAATCACCGCTCATGCGCAAACAACAGTGCTTAGCGCTAATGATTGACAAACAGGGCAACCAATCAGATGACAACTGATTCACCACTCATGCGCAAACAAGGGTGCTTAGCGCTAATGATTGACAAACAGGGCAACCAATCAGATGACAACTGTATCACCGCTCATGCGCAAACAACGATGCTCAGCGCTCAGCGCTAAGCTGGTCAGCTTTAAAGGTAGGGGTGCCCATGACGTCAATCGCGAGCGACCCGGAGCCAGCGGACTGGTCCCAAGTCGAGCGCGAGCGTTGGGAGGAGGAAATGGGGGGTGGGGGGCTATGTCTGTGTGTTTCAATTTCATTCATGTTCAGTGAAGTTCTGGCTCTCGCTCATCTCGATGTTTGTGCGTGCCTACGTGTCTGCGTGCGTGTGTGTGTGTGTGTGTGTGTGTGTGTGTGTGCGCGTGCATGTGCGCGATGCGGCTCTTTGCAGTAACACAGTAAAAAAAATTGGCTCTTTGTCTCTGACTGGTTGGCCTGCTGTACAGATTAACCTGCATTCTTCTGACAGAGAATCCCAGATGAAATTTATCCAACGCTATGACCTTTAAAGCTTCGGGGTGTTTCTAAAAGGTGGACTTACATTGAGCCAAGAAGATTAAGAGTATCAGTTCCAAGAAGTTTAGGGCGGTCTAATTACACCTGTGCTCTGAGAGCACGAGGTAGGTGAAAGGGCACAGCCCAAAACGTACACAAGTAAGAAGCATATTTGATGGTACATGATGACAAGGGCGGTTAATGGAATAATAGCCTACAATACCGAGTAGACCAATGGCGGGCAATTACTTTTCCAAATGGGCAACATGAGAAACTGGAATGGTTGTCAAGGGCCATGCTAGCATCGTAACTTTTACTGTGTTCTACAATCATTTAGTGTATTCATATAAAACAATAAATTGTCTTGCTTTAAAAAGCTGACACTTGTAGAAATATAGCAGGGACTGAAATAATTCTACAATAAACGTTGTAAGCAGTAATTTAAAATCGGTACATTTTAAAAAACCATGAATTGACATTAGCAAAAAAACGAATGTCCACAGTGAGCATAAGTTTTATTAAACTGTCCTGATATTTTGACCAATCTCCAACTCATACTAGCTAGTCATAATTGGGGTGTTAAAATTTAGATTAGAAGTACCGGTATATTATTGAACCATAACGTATAACAATAATTATTGAAAATGGGGTCTTTTTGAGAACCATTTCCCAGTGTAGTGGAACCTTGATTTGACGGACTAACTGGGGCAAGAGGTCGTCCTTCAGAACCAATTGTCCATTAAATCAAAGTACTTTTTTACGTGGCCTAAAAGCACACAATACAGTACAAA